CAGCTCACTGCTATCTGCACTGCCTACCATTCCTTCACCTACAGCACTCCACGCAGAGGGAACATTTGTATTCTAATCACAGGACATATCTCTTACATAAAGGGATGACATACACTCAGCCGTTTAAGCTCTTCTGTCAATTTTTCCAGAACATATTCCTTATCAAAACTTGTGTTTTACAATTCTCGCAGAGTATAGTGCTAGATACACTGAAAAGCCCTCTATAAATGCTTAAAATTTGAAACAAAAAAGAATAATTTAGGGAAACATCAAGTTTTTGGCACACTGACTTAGATTTCTCTATTAGAAAATTGGTCTATTTTTCCTGTACTTCGGACTGATCCCAGGACCTTTACAGTAGGATGTATTTCCAGCACATTACAGTTTTTAAAAAAAATTTTTGAGCCAGGATCTCACTAAATTGATAAATTGTCCAGGCTGGACTTAAACTTGCATTCTTCCTGTCTCAGCCTCCCACAATGCCAGGGTCACCATACCCAGCTAAAAATTAATAGCTTTAAATTGAGTAAATCTGAATCACACTGTTCACAAATACACATCTTCTTGTGATCCTTAAGTGTTTTTCAGTAAAAATCATGTCTAGAAAAAAATTTCTGTACATCATAAAAAATGACAAGTAAATTTCTGTAGTATTTAGGTACCCACAGTTTTATTACTCCTAAATATGTTAAAGTACAAAAAGTCACCAAACCACTCATATTGCAGTTTATATCATGTAAGTTGTAAGTCAGACTATGTGTCACTTAATGGAAAACACAAAGAATCTTAAGTTTTCTGGGATTTTGGTAGGACCTTTCCACATGCTTTCTTACATAATTAGAATTTGCTTCTCACCAGCTAAACTTGATGAAAACTTGAGCTAACAAACTCTCAAGTCAAGAGAATTCATCTCACATAGGTTTTAACTTTTGAAATAGCCTATAAGATTTTATTTTTTAGCCTATAAAAGATTTAACAGCCATTTAATTAAAATACCTGCAATTTGTTTCTCTGATAAAAATATTTTTAAAAATAGTAAGTAAAAATCAAATACTAATGGCCAGTAAGGCACAAGTTGCTACAGGAAAGTGAATTACACAGCCACAACACCCAACCAAAAGTCACTCACTCTCAGCTGGATCCATCTTAACTATAAACTTCAAGATCACCTGTCAACAATCTAAGCAAAAGTACCTGACAGTTTTCTTTCCCACTGCTATGTAAAGCCCAAGTTATATTTCTCAGCATAAAAGCCAATAACAATCTTACAGTGTGAAGAGGGAGACCTAAAACTTTAGTACTCTGCATACACAAACACAGAAAACATTGTGAAATTTATTGTAAATCTGAAACATGCTTAGCATAGATTAGAAAAGAACCATACAAGTTTGATTAGTGAAACTGATAATCTACACAAAATGTGTATTTTACCGCATTTATATAACTTTTATCACTGAACTAGTTGTGAAGATGAATCTTTCTTAGCATGTTTTCTATCTTGAATGTTAGGGGCAGAGGTTTAGTCATTTTTTTAGCCTTTTATTTAATTTCTTTTTTAGCACAATGCATTGTTAATCAGAGCATATCCTGGAACAACAAGACTATAGATACAAACCATCCAGATTACCTAGGTATCTTAACTGATCCCCTGAATCTTAGAGCAGAGGAGAGTAAATCTCAAGACCACGAGCTATACCAAATGATTTACTGCTTGGTGTTGTCCAGAAACCAAGCTATTCAATTCTAAGGACTGGAAACTGGCCCCTCATTGACTAAATGCTTTAGTGTAAAATTTCCCTCAAGTTTCAGGTTCTTTGAGCTTTGGTTTATGGGTATTTACTAACTCACAAGAAACAACTAAATTTATGATGTGGAACAGGGAATAGCCTGGATGGCATTTCATTAATGCTGTCTATGACTCCATCTTACAATCTGAAATTAGGATAAAACAATAAAGAACACAGACGTGGTTTTAATTTGTAGGCTATTACTCTTTGACACCCCCCCAAAAAAGGTAAAGGCACTTAAGATGTTACTCTCCCTGTGAAGGAATAAAAATATTAAATTATAGTAAAGAAGATTGTAAGTGTGGGACACCAGAGTTACACTTGTTTGTACACAGACACTAGCTATTACTGAGAAAGGAGAAGTTCTAGACTTAGAACGCTGTAGAAAATACTATAAGAATTTGGAACGTTACCCTGGATAAATTTCAAAGGGATCCAATATTTAAATGTGAAAAAATAAATTCCATTACAATTCTCAAGCAAAGACAGGAGAATTTCTGCATTAAACTTTTCTTTACCTAGTTAAAAATAGTATGAGAGTAATCTGTTAAATCTGCTTTAGTCTTAAAACTAGTTGAAATGCTCCATTTGAAATGCTTTACTAATTTGTTTTCCAATGGAAGGGCAACTTAAAAAATACATTAGAAAACATCTTAATTGATGAGTTAACATCTACACTGTAGCATCACCACTAGAATGTTGCTTCACCTATGGCAAAAATTCCAAGCTCTAAAATTTTCATTCTTTTCCTGAACATTTTTTTAAAAAGATAAGATCTTGTAATGTAGCACAGGTTGGCCTTGAGCTTACTATATAGCCCAGGTTACCCTCAACTCAAGGTGATCCTCCCAGGTGCTGGGATTACAGGCATGCACCATTATGCCTGGATTTCCAGAAAAAATTTGATAATACTTTTCTTCTAACACAAATTTTTTACATGGTACATATAAAAACAGTCCAGTCTTGCTGAATATTAAATGTTTTATTTAAACATTTTTTAGCGTTAAAAAAAAAGTGCACAAATACAAATCACATTATGATGACGAAGGCAGTATTCTACATGACAAAAATCAAAATAAAACAAATTTCTAATAAACGTACCGGCACTGAACAAGCATAATACTTGATATTTAATCCAGGCTTCATAAGCATAAAATGATCTGATCACATGGTTATGCAAAATAAATTATTTCCTAGAATACCAAAATGCCAACCATTGTGACTGCCCCCTGCCTTATTTTCCCCATAAGTAATGTTGAGAGAACTTCCATATACCATAAAAAGAACTGGCATGGCACTTAAAGACTACAAAAATAGAACACAATTAAAAACATATTTGTAATCCAGTTTCGTATAAAACATACATAGTACAACTTATTAGTTAAAAAAATTTAAAAACAAAGACCACCCTGAACAATGGTTAAAACCTCATCATACAAAATTTCTCATCATTTGTATATTATTGGTAGAAAACAAGTAAGATTTCATTGGGGGGAGCAGGGGAGATATCTAATGCAGTCATACTTGAAGAAAGTGTTTCTCAAAATGAGGTCCAAAGGCTAAAAAGAATTTAAACATGGGCACAGTAATATATACGTGTGTGTGTGTGTGTGT